CCAAAAAACACCAAAAAACACCAAGCTTCATTAAGGTACTATTTCTGTTACTCAGGCTTTCACAGCACGGGGCTCACGCGCATAGAGACCAGAGGGCGAGGTGACACCTCCGAATACAACCGTCAAAAAAGCAACCAACCAAAAAAAACACGAAAATCCCCGCATCTTTGGCGTTGGATAAAACACGTGGCTGCGGTGCGCCCGGAGGCACAGGGCCGGGTGAGGGATTACTGATCGCGGTTATCCCGTTATCCCGGCATGGGACAGCGGCGAATCTCATTGCTAATACCGTGGATCATCCCGTGGATCATCCCGTGGATCCCCGACCCCAAGGCCACCCATCCTGGTCCCCTCAGAGGGCAGGGCGGGACACCCAACCTACCTCCCGCTCCGCCGCTTCCGCCTGCCCTCCGCCAGCGAATCAGCGCCGTGTCCGCCCCTTTCGTCCCGCCCCCACCGGCCGCTTCGGCCAATCACAGTACCCTCTTGCTCCACCGGCCAATGGTGGTGGCGGCCCCGCCCCCGTGCGGTGAGGACGCGCCGTGCGCGGTTCCGCCCTGCCGGGGGGCCGGAAGGTGATGTGGCGCGGAGTGGCGCGATGGTAAGCGTAGGTCCTGCTCCAGTCCCGGCTGATCCCGGGCCTTTCCCGCACCCCTCCCTCCGCACAGACAATGCCGCATCCCCACCGCACCCCCTGGGCCCAGTGGCGCCACAGAGGGGCCGCTTACGCCGTAGGCCGTGGGCGCGGAGCCGCCCTGAGGCTTTGCCAGCTGTGAGGTGGACGGGCGTTGGGTGGAAAAAGACACGTTTTGTATCTGTGATGGCCCGTGCGGGGTAGGACAGGGGGGTTGTGTCTTTCACGAGCTCGTGACGTCATGGTGGTGGTGTATGACGCAGTAGTAGTTGTGTAACGTCATGGCGTGAGCTGTGACATCATACGTCTGGGGTAGAAAGCTGAGCTCTGGCATTGGCTGCTTTCCTCTGCTTTGTGGGTACTGTCAGAGGCCAAGGTTCATCTGCTCATGGCAACTGTGTATGGTCTATATAACTTTTGGTTTTATATTTATAAATATATATTAATTACAATTATATAAAAATTGATATATAAATCACACAATCAAATTATAATTATATATAAGATAATATTTTAATTACATATTGGAATTACATATAAAATAATGAAAGTATTAAAATAATGCAAATTCTCTATATAATAATGCATAAAAATATATATTAATGTATTTTGTATGTATAAATTTTTGTGATTATATAAATCTTATGTGTGGTTATTGTATTTATAATCTATATGTGAATATAAATATATAAAATATACAGCTCTGTGCAAGTCTATAATTAAACATAGTAATTAATATACTTATATATTATGAATATATATATTTATATATATAAAAGCCATACACATAAAATGTATGCAAGTGTATATATATGTGTACTCATTATAAATGCGTGTATATGTGTTTGTACTCATTATATAGAGTTGGCCTAGAGGGACTTTGTTGTTTATATTTTTTCTGCTTTTTTTCCCCATTTTGCATACAGATAAATACAAATGAGAGATTTGCATCTGTGTCATAGTAAAGAGGTGCGCACTGAGATACTTTTTCTCAGACAAGATTTATGTGTTTATATAGGTATGATGTTTACATGCGCGGTTTAGATACATGATTTTAAAATTAAAAAGGGAAACCAAAGGAATAACTGAGTCAAGATAAGTTTTCCCTGCAAAAAATTGAAGTTTGTGTGTAATTTTGTTTTAATATAGGAATTTTCAACATTTTTCTGATAATCACAGAGTCGTTTTGGTTGGAATGGGCCTTGAAGGGTCACCTGATCCCCCCACCTTCCATGGGCAGGGGTCACATTGTTGTATTTCCTGTGTGTTTATAGAAAAGAGAAATATCTCCTGAACATTCTTATGACTCGGTGAAAACAAAAAGGGTTCCTTTTTTTCCTTTCCTGTGCTCCAGACCTTGTCACCAGCAGGATATTGCTGGAAGTTGCTCACCTGAGCATTCCTTGGCAGATCTTTTAGATGAACCTGTTCTTATCTGTCTCTTCGAGCAGTGAACAAAGGTGGGGTTTTTTTTATGATAAGAGGCATAAATTGTCTCAGGAGATCTAAAACACACATGCAGAAAACAAAGAGACTCCTACTCAGTGCCTTTAAAAGTAGATATACTGAATTACAACAGCACCTTTCTTTTCTTCACTTAAAAAGTTTGAGATGGTACAAAAAGGCAAGAGATCTCAGTGAGACATTTCTGTTGCTCACTTAAACTCTTAAATACAAGTATTTAATAATATTATTATTTTATATTGTTTATATGTTTATACAGGAATATATATTTTTGCATTAAATATAAAATATATATAAAAATAATTAAAAACAAATACTAATGCTTGTCTCTAACAAGATTATGGCAAGTACATGAGATCTTGTGAGAATTACTTTCTCCACCTGTCCATGTTCTCTGTTCCTATGTGGTGCTTGAAGGACCCTGAAGCATAAGAATCTTCTAATAATGGGGTTTCTTATGATTTCATGTTGAAGGAGGTGAAAATGAGGTTCCTCAGCCTTTGTGGAGTTTGAGTTTCCTCAGGGGGAGCAACAACCCTCATGGCGTATCTGGGATTTTGGGTTCTCCATGGTGCCACCTCTGGTCTCATGGCTTTTTAGGGGAAAAAAAGACACTTTTAAGCTCACACTTGACTGTGAGGGAGGAAACAGCTGCTTCCTTTCATCGCAAAAATGTGCAATTACAATCAAACAAAATTTGGTGATGGAGAAAATTTTAAGAGTTGCAGAAAACGTCACAATAATTGCTCCTTTCCCCCTCACCCTGTGGTTGGACCTGATCTTGGCCCCATATTATTGCCCAAAAAATTGGTTTTGGAAGTTTCCATGAGGACAAACATTTTTGTCATGATCTTTGTTGCTCTCTTAGCTTGATGTTTATGGAAGGAATGGGAATTGCTCATAGAGCCAATTGTAAAAACATTCATTAGTAAATATTATTTCAAACCAAGCTGTTGGATATAAACATATCAGCACTTGAGACACTGGCCTGCAAAAAGAGTTCTCAGGAGTCTTCAAGTACAAAGTTTTTTGTTTGTCATATTGAAAAGGACAAGAAGTAATCAGTCCTGGTTCAGATTTGTTTTTATCATGGCTGAAGGGCACATAGGTTTAAAAACATCTGCTTCATCTGATAGTCTTAAGCTATCTTTGTGGTGTGCAAATATGTAACTTTAAGTGTTTGGTGTAGATATTTATATCCTGTCATTTCAGAGGAATATGTGAATGTATATTGTCAGTATTTTATTTCTGTAATTATAGAACAGAGGAAGTTATTTCTTCTGCCAAGGTGTAATGCCTCTCTTGATCTGTTTTGGGAAGAGGAGGATGCAATGAGTCTGCTTTACAGGTTTTACCAGGAATGGCACCGGTTGTGAAAAACCATTTCTTTGCTGAGTTTGATAAAATCACACAAATTTAATTTCACAATTTAATTTTCTGATTGTCTTGTGGCCATGGAAATAAGGTAGATACCTCTGGAATTTTGTGAAAAATATTACTTGTCTTGCAGATGCTAAATATTCAAACCATGCACCCAAACTCTGCCAAGCAGGAGACCTACAGAGGACCTGCCCGGTGCCATAGCACATAAGACACTTAACAGAGCCTGTTGTGATTTGTTGTCTAAGTATTTTTTTCCTGATACAGAATTACTTTTTTCCTGTTCTAGAGAGATGGTTCTACTATTAATGAAAAAAAAAAAAAAAAAAGTAAATAGTATATATAAAGTATTTGTGGTCCTCTTTTTAGTTCTTAAGTAAATTAAAATATGTTTCTTTTTGAGAACTTAGACTTTCTTGTATGTCCATGTGCACATTCCTGTAGCCCCTTCCATTATAAAATCATGATTTTTGCACGCTGTTTTTATTAGAGTGAGGTTGTCACCTGATTCAAAATGTGCTTTGCTATGATTCTTATCTCTTCCATTCACAACCACAGCATTTATAAGTTTACCCAGTAAATTTCAAGGTAAATGAATCAGTGTGGTGGCAACTTCAGAAAGGAGAGCAATGTGGGAGAAGGTGTCTCTCTCTCTCTCTCTCTATATATATATATATATAAAACTTTTTTTCTTCTGTTTCATTGCACTTTAGGAATCTCTTATGCCCAGGTTTTCAGGGAAGGAGAGGAGAAAGAGCTACAAATCAAGATTTGCATCCTTTCAGAGAGCTGTGTGGCAATGACTGAATATGATCTACACAACTGATAGTTACAGAAACTACTAAATATGTTCTCTTACTCTGGAGAACATACTTAGATTTAACATCCTAAAAAGAAGGGATATATAAAGTATTCCTTTTGTGTATAGGGGAAGAGAGTGGAGAAAAAAATCTCTGTGAAATTGCAAACTGTGTAATCTGCAAAGGAGACCTGGAGGAAAAGACACTTCAAGCTTTTACTGGCATATTTACCATAATTCTGTGCTTTTTTTAATAAATGTATGAATATACACACCTTTGTGTTACAGTGACCCTGATAAAAGAGGTTAATAGTCACTTCGGGTTTTATTGTAACATACTTTCATGAAATGCTGTGTCTGCTAGAGGCTAATACCAAACGTTCAATTTTCAAGCTAGATATTGGGTCAAAGAGGAAGGAATCCAAGTGAGTGGAATTTCAGCATTGTCACCTTGAGGTGTCTTTTCACTGTTGGTCTTTGGATTTGAATTGCAGTAAAAAAACCTAAATGTGTTAAAAGAGAGGTTTTATAGGAGAGGACAACTGTTTCCATATGCTAATTAATTGTTTAAAGAGATTGCTAGTGTTTTAAATAGATATATTACTCTTCAGCTGACTGAAAAGCTTACATGTCAGCTCCTGCATGCTGTGCTTGCCATTTAAATTAGCCAATGTACTTCTTCAATAAATACCTAGGTAAAAGATTCCTTACTACTCTAATTGAGCCTTAGCCTAAGTTTCATGAGTCCAAAATTACATATTTTAGACAGAAATGTGAATGACCGTTAAACATTATTCCTAAATTCTTTGAAAACCAAATACTGAAGTGAATATGCTGTAAATCCAGAGTAAAACCCCATATTTGTGTTTGAACAACCAGTAACTGCAATTGGCCAGTATTTGGATACTAATTAAGCACAAACTAGTTTTTTCTAAACTCGCCTTTCTTAGTTTTGCGGTATAATTTTTCCAATAATCACTTCAAACTTAAATGATTTGCACTTTTTGTATATTTTTATAGCCGTAATTATCATGCCTCTTTTACAAATGATTATTTTCCATTCATTTTTATCAAGCTGCATTTGGCAGCAGTGGTGAAAATAACTATTTTTTTAATAGGTTGGAATATAATAAAATTAGGTGCTTGTTTTAATTACTTTTTGGCAATTATTTTGACTTCCAGGTTGTGAGTAGTCCCTCTTGTTTTATTTTCTGTTAGTTTTTTTCAGTATAATTCCCCTAAAAATTTGATTTCAACTGGGGAAATACAAACTGAATTGCCTAATGGAAACCCTAGATAATAAGCATTTTCTCTTTCAGCTTTGTGAGGACCTCTTCATTAAAATTTCATAGACTGATTTCACTATTGTATGATGGGATTTTTATCAGCTCTTGCTTAACAGTTTAACTGTAGTGTGTAAGCTCTTGCTCACACTTTGAGAAACCCAGTCATTTAGCTGCCTATCAGTATTTGTTTCTTTGGTCCCAGAACACTTTATCATCCATTAATTTTATAATATTGAGGAGGAAAACAGAAAATAAAACTGTTCAAGAAAGACTGAATGTTCTGCAGCATGTTGTGCAAATGAGGTTATAATTTCTATAGAATATTCCAGTAATATATCTGTGCTTGCCCACATAAATTGATTATTGTAATAGTAACCACAGGACAAAGTTTAGCAACTTACTGGCCCTACAGTGGCCTCTTCTTTTGTAGCACACACAGATAAAATCATCATGGTCACGCTGCAATCAGAGACAGAGTAATGATTTTGTAAATACTTAAAGTCTAGGGGAGGTTAAGCTTCAGTTTGGGTGTTAAGCCTGTTGATATAAACTAGGAGAGCTTTTATTTTAGACTTCCTACCAACCCAGTAGGACAAACAGCATGGGGTTTTTGTTCTCCTGGATGTTTTATTTCCCCTGGAGGCATGATGTCAAGGAGTTTGTTTTCAACAAAAGTGTAGCAGGCGAGGGGAAAGCCAGCAGGGCTGTTGTGACACAGAGTTGCATCAAAACTTACAACGTAATTTATTACAGTGCTACCCAAGGGTTACATCAGTAAATGCATCGGTTGGTAATTCTGGTGTTGTCTGCAAGGACATGGAACAAAACCATGTCTCTGCAGCAGAGAATGCTGGAGTGATGGAATGAATGAGAACTGCAGAGGTAGAATAGTTACAGTGTCTTGTCCATGGGCTGTCAATTTCAATGCAGAAACATGTTTAGAATTAGTGCATCCATTATGGCTGTTTCTGCTGAGGGTGAATACATATTCACCAGTGATCACTGAAAAATCAGTCAATGATCTCAGTGTCCCCTCAGCAAATTGAATTAAATATTCTTATGAAGTACAAGAGCCATTGATATCCAGAACTCTGAGCGGCTTCTTTTTTTTCTATCTCTACAAGCGTAGTAAATTTAATGCTGACTAAATTGCAGGAGGTGCAACCTTGTCAATAATGAGGTTATCAAGGCCTGTGCAAATATTGTGACCAATCATGATTTCCTTTCTCAGTCGCATAGGTAATTTTTAACTTTGACTTGACTCTTATTAAAATATATTAAACTTTGTTTATATTCAGATGGAAATACATTCAGATGTCCCTAGCTGTGCCATTTGATTTCCAACTAGTGTACATTCCCATTAGTATTTAATGTAATATATGCCACCACTGCTAATCTAAACACAGAAAAACTTTCAGGAGTAATCATTCTTTATGGTTTATTATATGGAGTTTTTACTAACATACATCATGATTAGGAAATAATATTAAGGCCTTTTTAAAGTCTAATTTTGGGAAGGATTTTGGGCAGGTAGCTCTCAAAGCTGAAGTCTATGTTCTTAAATTTCTAAAGACTTTGGTAAAAGCTTATGCTTGGATGTTCTTCTGGTTGCAAAACCTCATTAGTGCTGCAGGTGGGGAACATCAGGGGACTGTGATTACTTAGGTAACACAGAGTGGAACCACTCAGGTGTTTCCACTGTGTCAGAACTGTACCAAGTGCAGATGCAGGAAATTTCAGCCTGTAAAATTAAAGCTTGCACTGCCTAAAACCAGAATAAAATACCAGTGCTGATTGTTTTCTGTGTTTGAATGTGAGTCTTGGGAAGTTAGTTGTAGTTTCACCCACATGCGGACACAGTCTAAAAGACAGCATCAATTTCTCCATGTGCTGAGATTTCTTTGTAGTGGGAATGAAGCTCACAGGACCTGCCTTAAGCCAGTCAACACATTTGAAAGATCCTAATTAATTACTTTTCGATCAGAGGAACCCAGTTGAACTAAATCAACTGTGACCCACCTACATTACATTGTCCAGGTAGCTCCGTATGTGAATGCAGCATTTTTAAAAGGATTCTGAGAAATTAACAACTCACAGCAGCTTTTAATTCCACCAGCTGAAGCAGCCAAATGTAATTCTCTTTTTTGTGAATTCAGCTGGGCTGTAAGAATTACTTGGGATGCGAAAAGCAAAGCCAATCTAATTCAAGACTAAATTTTCATTTCCAGTTTAAAATTGTAGGCCAGTTTTAGAACGCTCACTCATGTCCAGATGTGCAGATAAAGGTGTCATTCAGGGCAGGGTCCAGTGGAAGGAGGTCTGTAATTGCATGTCTTCAGGAACACGTGAGGACTCCAACAAAGAGTAATTATACCCTACCCCTGCTGATGAACTAAGCACACATTTCATGAGTATTCATTTACAATTGCTGCTGAAGGGGAAGCAAGTGTGCCCTGGTGCCATTTCCCTGTGTTGTGGTGCCCAGTGCAGCCCTGGGAAGCAGCTGCAGGAATTCCTGGGAGCGGGGCTCTGTGAGATGTGCAGAGCAGCTGCTTGTCCCAGGGGACTGATCCAGTTAATCAGTTGATAGGGAATATCTGGCTGTGCTGAGGGGCAGCCGTGTTCCCAGACCCTCAGGAGCCACAGGACCCCGGCTCTTGTGGGACAGAGCAGGTTCTTCTGCAGGGAATCCAGAATTCCCTGGGTTCTGGAGCTGGCAAAACCTCCTGTCACCTACAGAGGCAGAGGAGTCTGGTGGTGATGAGCAGTGTTTTGTGCTTTGTGAATATACTCTCCATTATTTATGACATGGCAGGACAGAATTGATACCTAGTTAGGCAATACTAAATTAAACATGACTCAAGTAAATGCCATGGCTCAGAAGAAGAGCAAGAAGCCTTATGTTTCAGGACCAAGGGCTTACACTGGGTGTGGGTCACTGGCATAATGTCCCTTCTCCATCATCCCAGAAATGTTGGATTTCAGGGATGCTGAAATCTCTGACACAGGATGCAGAGGCAGAGTTGTTCCTTAAGGTTCTCTGTGATGCTCCTTTTAACACAGTGGCCTGTACCCATTACGTTTGGTATTTAAACTACTCTGAATATCTAACCCTTTCTAAAGCACTTATTCAGGCTGGTAGTTGTATTCATTTTCTGTTGTTGCTTCATGGACTTTTAAATAAGCCAAAGTTTTTTGCCTTTTTTTGTTTGCTTGTTTGTTTGTTTGTTACAAGGTTTTTTATATCAGAAGGATTGTGGATGTTCCAGTGGCTTTGCTTGTACTACAGCTTCGTATTTTTCTCTCTTAATTTTACTGTTAGTGCTGTAATGAACTGAAATATTGTGATTTTCCTGTATAATTCTTTTTAACTGTGAAGAGAAATTCGATTATCAGAGCTTCTAAACATTGGAATTTTTTGACACAGGGAGAAAGCACACGTGCATCAACAGAGATGTGCCTCAGGCTGTGGAAATGAAGGCTCTTATGTGCTCTAAAATATGCTTGGAGAGGGAAACTGCTATGTAATAGCCCTTCCTAAGTGCTAAATATTTACCCTTAATTAAATACCACCACTCAGCCATCTGGGTTGAGCAGTGCAAAAATATGAGACATAAATTCATCAGAACTCCAGAATGAAGAACGAATTTATTGTATTTGCTTTGACCTTTTTTTTTTTTTTTTGAACTTTACACTAAATTGGATTCAGAAATGGGGGAAACAGAGTGAAGATAAAATAAAGCTTTTTGAAGTAAGCAATTGCCTTACCTGGTGCTGTCAAGCAGACTAAATTCCAGTTGAGACAGTTAAAAGTTAAAAGAAACCCCAAAACTGTAAATAAATTTAAAAAGGTTTTGATATGCAGTTTCTGCCTATTACTGATAATTAAAAATTTACCAAATTGCCAAATATTGCATCAATTTCTCAAGAATTATTACTTCTTACTGCCACTAGGCTGACCAGTGTTCACTATCAAACAATAGGACTTTCTTTCTCAATCCAAAGGCAACTGCTCCATTTGTCCAGCATTTTCCATGTAATTAGCACTTCTAAAAATGTATTTACAGGAAAGATGTTTTAAATCAAAAATAAAAATGTAATTTGAAAATAAAATTAATCACTTACTGTAGTTCAGATGGGCTTGACTGTGTATGTCTATAAACTTTTTGAATTTGTCATGTAGTCTTCATAAAGGGGTATATTAACAATCCTCCTACCTATGTCTTGTCGTTCTCTGTCTTGGCTACCACTGGTTTACAGCCAATTACTCTTCATCTTCTGTACCACTGCCATATTTTACTGATGCAAAGATTTTCTGGCTCATTGTCATTGTTGGTTTCATTTTTGGTTTTAATGGGTATTACCTAAGGGTTCACCTATTTTTTTCCAATGAGGGAAGTTTTGTATTGTAAAGGAGTAATTTTTATCTTCTGATTTTCCTCCACAGTCTGCCATCTTCAACTTCCAGAGTCTGCTGACAGTAATCTTGCTGCTCATATGTACCTGTGCCTATATCAGATCTTTGGCTCCCAGCTTACTGGACAAAAATAAAACTGGGTATGTAGTCTGATAATTTTACAAATGCACAAGACGTGTGGTTTTAACTTCAACTTTTTAGTACCCTCTGATGGTGTCTGTGATAATACAAATAGTATTTTGGAAAACTTCTCTCTTTGAAGATAAAAATCTTCATTTTGTACATTACAATAGAGTGCAATAACGTATCTGCAAGGCCTTAGTTTTAATTGTATTGAAATAATTTATTAGCTAACTAACTTAAATAATGCTGCATTATTAGTTTTCTGAATTTACAGCTTTCTTGTTAGATGCTTCTTAAAGATACAGAAATGAAAGGCAGAAAGGAAACATTCTCCTACACATGGCTATTGTTGCAATGATTTAGTTTTGATCCTTAGGGTGGGTAAAAAAACAGCAAAAGCTGGCATTTTGTTTGTTTTCAAGACAGGTGTTTTGGAGATAAAAGTTTGAAACGCAGCTTTAGCAATAATCTTTAACTAAAAAAAAACCCTAAGAATATTCGTTAAAATAAGCAACACTATCCTTATGTGTGGTCTGTTTAAATCATGGGTTTATACTGTCTAAGATGAAAGAATTTCTAGAAGAGAAATTTTAAAAGTTTCTACAAACCTAACCTATGTTTTTTGTGTCCTTTGGACACTCTTAACTGTGATCAGCAGAACTGTCATTTAATTGTAGTGGTTTTAAAGTAATTTTTCGACTATTATGACATAGAAACCACTGAGACTGTCCACAATATTTCAGAAATAGTATCACTTGAGGTTAGTAGAGAAGAGATAGTATTTGTAGAAGTAGAAGGTAATTCTAGCTGGAAATGTTCTAGGTGGGAAAACAGACAGGCTTTTGGGAGCTGGGTGTTTGACTTGTCCACTTTTTCCTTTAGGTCATTTCCTGCTAAATAAAATTTTCCTTTTCCCTTAGTATCTCCTGTCACTTCTGCATTTAATTTTCAGAAGAATTCTCAAGTTTTAATTAGACTCTTGTCACCAAGAACCTTCAGTGTTTGTCTTCTGAAAACCTTTGTTGTAGTTAACCTCTGGAGTTATGTTTAATCACCCAGGTTTTTTTCTTTTAGCATCATAAGTAACCAGAGTATGCCAGAGTTTTTAAATTTGGGAGTTCTAACACAAAAACACTTGTGTCCGTTTATAAGAAATTGCCACTGACATGGGAGATTTCTTTGGATAGAAGTAAAGATGGAAAGAAAGGATGACTTCATGAAGGACAGGGAGTGGGAGGGCGAGGGGAGTTTGGGTGTCTGCTGGTGGAAGATAACACAATAGTCAATGAGGTATACACAGTAAGAAGTAAGAATGTTTATTTTACTGATTAAAAATTTTAGTGCTGTTCTTGGCAGGGAGTATTTCCTTTAATCTGGAGCTACTCTGTTTATTCTTGAGGCAAATCTGTCTGGAGCACAATAGAAGTCTCTTAATAAAATGTTTTCAAAGGGTGCTGACACAGTGGAGGAGTTGGGCGTTTGATCTGTAGGTTTGTATTTATATAGATGTTGGACATACCGTTTTGTTTCATAGATACATGCGTATGTAGACTGCTTTGTACTGGAGAATAAAACCTTGGCCTGGAAGCAATGAAATTTGTTTCCTGTGTGGTGGATGTTTACATGGAGCTCGTATGCTGTTAAACCCCTGTCCCTCTCCTCTGACATATTCCATGCTCAGATGGAAACGTCTAGACATATGGGATAAAACAAACTCTGGTGATATTTCATTTTACCACAGGGATGAGCTTACCTCATTATTCCTGCTCCAAATTAATGACATTAAAAAAAAGTAGCAATAAAATATTAAAGTGACAGAGAGGAGGAATGTTGATAGTTACTCACTTTATTTCCAAGTGAGTGGTAACTTTGGTGAGGATTTAAATGAGTTGATACTAAGGGAAGAAGCATTTTTCTGTTGGTTGAGAGACAGTGTTGCAAAGTGATGTCACCCATCCTCTTAACACTCTATTTCATCCTCTTCACTTCTGCCAAAGTCTGTCTGTTCCTACCAAGCCAAGCTGAATTTTAAAACTTCATTCTCCCTTACACGCCTTGAGTGTTTCCATGTGCTTTGTTCTGTTTAAGCCTGAGAAAGCAAGTGGAGATTTACTGCTTCATACTAACTAGGGGAGAACGTGTACCACAACATCATTCCTTCCTCTCTGCTAACCAGAAAGATGTGTTAGCTTATGTGCAGCAGAGTTCCCTTTGATTTTCCACAGCCATTGCAGTGGGGTATCTCTCACACTCCCTCCTGCAGTGGCACTGGGGCTGTCCTGGTAAACACATGGAGGCTGCATTTTCCCAACATATACTGTTCAGCAGTTGAAGTCTAAGGCCCCGATAACTGCTCCTCAACTTAATGGGTTTCATTTATTTGGGTTTTTTGCTCTCCAGACAACCAATGCCACTTTCATGACCAGGGCTTTTAACATCTAACACTGAAAGCCAGTAACAGGCAGAAGCTTGTGCGCATTTGGCTTGTGGCTGCCAAAAAACAACGGGTGTGAAGGCCAGACTGACACACTTCACCTGCCTCCAAACACGGATGGAGAGGAACGTAAAGGGGAGAGTAGGGAACAGTGCAGTTACCTGGAGTGGTTGCTTCAGGAGGAATTATTTTGGGGGAAATTCATTCAAGGCAGCATCATTTCTGTAAAAAACAAACAGGTTTTGACTTGAAGAGCTGCATGTTGTGAACCTAAGATGAACACTAATGGAAAAATCCAGGGGAGCAGAAGGTCTGTACAGGCTTTTCCTGCAGTGTGAGCTTCCCAGTTCATCCCGAGGATATTACTGTAGCTGGTTAGAAGGTCCTGATTTCCATCTGCCTCTGCTCGGTAGTGGGGTATGTGGACAGACAGACACTGAGCTGTTCCAGTGGCACACAAGCTCTTTAAAAAGGTGCTGCTGTCATCTGTGGGAAGGTTTGTCAGTCCCCCTTTCAGTGACTTTTAAGTTCATAAATTGTTAACTGCAGTAAGGGGACCTGATGAAACCCATATTCTGTTGTGTACCTACCACATCAGATATTTGTATTTTCACTGAGAGCTAGAAGCAATGTACAATACTTCAGTAAGAACTTCACACTGTTAAACATAGTCAAAAAAAACCTGAGAAAATACCCTTGCTGAGATTGTAAGGCAAATTCAGTGTATTTATAGACTTCCTGAAAGAGTTAATACTCTTTTTCCCAGGCAAGATTCTTCAAACACACATAAAAGGAACAGTAATGTTTATTCCTTCATGGGCAAGCTTTTGAGAGATGGCAGCATGAGAAGCAGGGCTGTGGAAGTTTTTGTGTTGGTTTTGCAGCACACTATCTGTAAATTCCAATTTTACAGAGAGTGACAAAGTTTTTGAGAACCTGAAGTGCTACCCATGCAGTAATGTGGGCCTATGTGTTTTGCTCCGTAAGATTTACACATGAATGCCTTTCTACCTGCATGCATCCTCAAAAAGTGCCTAGATGTCTCGAGGTTACTTTATTGTATGACCTCTTAGCCTGGAAAAGTGTGGTGCTCCACATGCAGTCATTATTATTTCTGCTTGTGGAGCTACATAAAAGCAGCAAAAAAAAAGGGCTTTGGCTTTACAGAAATACAGTAAAAGCCAAATAAGTATAAATATATACATATATATTTCGCTTGAGGTAAACAATCTAAAGCCCAAATGAAAAAGCCTTTTCTAGAAATGGAAATGCTAAAATGCTGTTCATGATAAATTGGTCAGCAAGAGATATGTTGGTCAAAAAGCATTTCACTTTGACTTTGAAAACCTTAATCTCTTGCTACCTCACTTGGTTCTCACCTGCCTGACACCGAGTCTTTATTTCAGAAGTAAAGGTGAGGTTGCTAAATGGAAAGAAAAAGAGATGTTGAAGTAAACTGAGGCCATAAAAGAGACCATAAAATATGAAGTAGCAGAGAAATTATTTTTTCAAAGGTCCAGGATGTGTTGTCTACTGAAGATGCAGGAGCAAGGGACCCATTCCTACCTGTCTGCACTTAACCATATTAAAAATAGGCAATTGCCAGAGCCCAAGAAAGGGGAAGGATAGATAATCAAGCCAGTGTCAGTGTAGTTCAGAGCACTGTGGGAAAGCACTTGGAGAACTGCAGGTATAGTTACAACCCCACAAATAACACAAGCTGAAGTAACGGCTGATAAGCGTATTAGGAGAAGGAGGAAAAGTAATTAGGTTTCTTCTTTTTTTGCTCCATTAATCTATAAATAAACAATATAGTTGAATCCAGACATTTTTACTGCATTGCGACCAGACGTACTATGAAGGAAACCTTCCTGCAGACAAGTTTTGAATATTTTTGACCAACATTTATAAGGCTGAAAGCTACCTTCTTATTCAGGATGCTTAATATGCTTCCCCTTCTCCTCCTCAGATCCTAATGCAGTCCTTGGCCTTGCTTCTCTTGAGCAGTCAGTGTGAGATTATTTTAGTTAGACAAAGAAATTGTAAGTAAAGGAGTAAGAACAAACCATAAGAATTGTTTTGTTATAGTTTCAACAGAAGCATTCTATATTAGATTACACCTGTGAGAAGAAAATGCCTGCTAGAGAAGGCATTTTTATCCACTGTTTCTAAGAGAAATGCAAAAGAGAGACTACAAAGCATTAAATTTAAAGTGCTGAAGTTTATCATCTGTCCTACTTGTAGGAAAACTCGCTTCAAAACCTTTGACATAAAAAGTTCCCCACATACAATGGTGTAGAGGTCTGTTGGTATTTCCAACTCCCAATATTTGTATAGTTCTGAGTTTTTTTGTTAACATAATTTTCTGTGTGTGGTACTTTAATGTAGACTGCACAATTCTGATGAAATTAATCTGGAATACAGACTGAGTTAAATGCATCTTGGTTTTTCTTGCATGCAAAAAACCCCACCTTGCTAGACTTGGAACTTTGCCTCTCATGTAGTTCATAGCCTGTGCCTCTTTGTGCAGGTATCTGCTACTTTCTCATGTCCAGAAGAGGGTCAAGTTGACAGACTACTGTCGATTCAGATTGCTTTAGAATAGAAGAAAGAAAATCTGGACTTAGATTATTTTCTTAAATATTGTTTTTTAAACTCAAGAGACTAATGAATTTGTTTTGTCTTTACAGACTGTTGGGGATATTCTGGAAGTGCGCCAGGATTGGTAATTCTTTTTTTTTTTTTTTTAATTTTAAAATCTTTAAGACCAGTGCTTTTTCTGGCATTATTTGTTAAGTTAATGTTTTTCTGTAGCAATGAATTCCATATATACACTCTGTCTTAAAAAATGCAGGTTTTACCCCTGTGAAATAAGGGAGCAGGATATCGCTGTCTTAGATCAGCGTCATGGAAGGCCTGCATATTCTGATGTCAGTTCATGTGTGTGATGTTATATTTTCAGAAGTCTTTCACACTTCTTGCCACGTGAAGTAATCATGGGGGAATTCTTATTAACGTACAAAGAAATGAATGATTCCTTATAAACTGCAATCTATATAAAATGCTAATGGACTACTGAAAAAAAGCCAGATATTTATCTTATAGTAATAAAAAATAATGCATTGAGGTTCTGTTTAAGCACGAGTGTATTTTTTTTTCTCTTCTTTCTTTAGTCAGCTTCTGTGCACTTCTGAATTACAGAAAGCTGTTCATGTCAAGTGACATCTGCAGACAGGCTGATCAGCTCTATCTGATTCCTGACATTTTCCCATAACATTGGGTTTATATTTATTTTAATCCTTATCCTGAATTTATTTTGAGAGGGAAATTGGAATATACAAGAGAAGTATAGTCTCAACTTTTAAGGTATATCCAGGATTTTTAAAAATTACAAACCCATCATCAAAACAGTGTTGTTCAAGTTGCATTGTTAATGTACAGCAGAAACTATTAGCTTGTAACTGTAGATCTTCTTACTTGTCATTAAAACTATGAAGAGAAAAAAGAGAAAGAAAACCTGTATGATTCCCCTTTCTGCATTCCGGGCTTTGAGAGGGGCATGACATGCATTTTTCAATTTGTAAAAAAGCATTGACACAAAAAAATGTTTTTTGTTGAGACCTGTTGTTAAAGTGATTGCAGATATTGTCCTATTTAGATAATTGACATAGCAGAATCAATTTTAGTGCTGTAATTGAAAGATACTGGGAAGATGTCAGATGTCAGAAATTATTTTGAGCTGTACCAGCGAAAACAAATGTAAAAATTGAGCTGCTTTAGGGTTTGTTCAAGGTTGAAGAGAATACTTTACTTCACCTTCCCTTGTCATCTTCTTTCTAGTCAATTAAGTGCAGGCATATTCTTTTCTGTTAGCTATGTTTCTATTACAGCTTGCATCTAGAGTGGACCAATTTGACTTTCTTTTTTAGACTGAGAGGTGAAAATGGGCTTTGGGGACGATTCCTGTCATTTTGTTTGTGTTACTCACGAAGGCATGTACAAAGCGTAGGCTTCTAAAAAATGAAAATGTCTCCTGGCTTCCTTTGCATTTAACATCCCTAGTATGTTTAAACAACCTTTTCACATGTGCATAAGATATTAATCGCAAGCAAGTGGTTACATATTTACAGAGTTGTGCAAAATTATGTTTAATCCTGCCACATGGTGATTTCTCTTTTAAGAAAATTAGGAGCAGAAAAGTATAACCCATATGAATATTGTAATACCCTGAACTGTAGGAGTTGGACTTCCTCAAAATTTATTTTAAACAGATGTGAAACTGCAGACATTGATTCTTTCAGTTATTTGAAGTTTAATTAAATATGTGCCAGATCATGGCAACATCTTGTAATGTCACTGTGGCAGGCACTCCTGCTTATGGGAGCTGTCACTGCAACTATTTTATTTTTTATTTTCTCTCTATGGAAAGTTTGTTGCCCATGTATTTGAAGGTTCTGCTGGTAAAAATTACTCTTTTTTTAATGAGAAATGCACCTTGATGCTAAATTTGGAAGCCTCGGTATTCTTTTTTCTTTAACGATTCTCTGAAAACTGTGTCTTAAAATAAGATGGTTTATAGAGTAAGACAAAAGACCTGGCACAGCACAGGGAAATTGAATTTTGTTTAAGGCAAACAGCCCCAGCTCTGTCTTTGTGCTTCTGGATGTGTAAAAACAGGAAACTTCGCACTTTAAAGACAGATTGCAGTGTTGACACTTCCTGACAGCTCTGAGGGCTGGAAGTGCCATCCAGAGTTGGTCTCTACAGAGCGAAGTCAGTGGACCTATGAAGAATAAAGTTTAAGTAGAAGTGTAAAAACACCTGGCTAATTAAGTGGAGGAAGTGTTCATGTGAATAGGTATCAGTCTAGCTAACATTACTGTTAACCCCCTGACTGTGTTACAGTTCCCCACATAAGGTTATTCCTTTTTTCCTCTCATAGTTTACTTTGTAAATAAGACACCTCTGTAACATTTTGTCCTGATCCAAATGAAGGGGAATAGATCTCTCATGATTACTTTTGCCTCCAAATATAAGTGGGCTAATGGAGTAAACTTAACTTTTCATTCATGGTGTGCCCTGGAAAAGCTGTGACATCAATTTGAAACAATCAGAAATACAGGTGTCTGCAACTTCTATGATCTGTTGACCATTTTTATCTTGGAAATGTGTGGGCCAGACCCTCTTCATGTGCTTACAATGTTATGTCCCTTTAACAAGTAAAAAAGACAGGCATCTCTCCGTCTTCTTTAGACCAGTTTGCTCCAACCTGGCCCTGGACACTTCCAGAGATGGAGCAGCCACAGCTTCTCTGGCCAACCTGTGCCAGGGCCTCACCACTCTCACAGGAAACATTTTCTTCATGATATTTAGTCTAAACTTCCTCTCTTTGAGTTTAAAGCCGTTTCTCCTTGTCCTGTCACTACATGCCCTTCTTTAAAGTCACTATCTTAAAGCGAAGAGCTGCAACTCTGTCTTTTTGTAGAAATATCCTACATTTGGGTTTTCCATGTGTATTCTTACTGGGCACACAACTGTACCTCTAATAGCATTTCTCCAGCCAGAAATGCTGAATGTGAACTTGCACATGCTATATCACAGTTAGCACGTTAGACTAGGAGCAGCCTGGATCTGTTTAGTCATTCCTGAATCTTTCTTTTGGGCTTTTCCCCCTCCTAGGTGAGCGGAAGAGCCCCTACGTGGCTGTGTGCTGTGTCGTGATGGCCTTCAGCATCCTCTTCATGCAGTAGAGCCTGGAGAGTGTCCCCCGCTGCCAGACAGCACAGTGTGGGAGAGTTCCTGGCAGGAAAAGATGGGAAAGTGTCACCAAGTCTTCTCCCACATGATGGACCCCCCGTCTTCTGGTGGACAACCCCTGCAAACACACCATCCTGTGCAGTATTAGTGATCACAACCCAGATGACATGTGCTTGTTAATGTGGAGTCAGCACTGATGTAACTCTTGAAAGAGTCTATTCTAACCATAGCAATAAGGCCACCCTTGGAAAAATAAAGAACAATGTGACTTTAGTGTGTGTTTATCAAAGTATTTTTAGTTCTTTCTGTCCTAACAGTTCCTCTTGTTTTGAGAGTGATAGCCCTGCTCTCATTCTAAAAATACAACCTCCAACCTAAGTTACATTCAGCTATTTATTTTTAAACTTGAAATTCCTCAAATAATCTGTCAATATTTTTTTTGTTAAGATAAGATATGAGTAAAAACAGGGACCAAAACTGTAGTGATGTCTGATTAGCTGCTGAGAAGGCATGGATGTGGGACTTGAGACACCTGAGCTGCTCTGTGTAAAATATGACATTTATTCATTTGTAGAGGTTTGAGTCTCAGGTAGATTACTCCACAGATTTTTTCAAGATGGTGAGAAAAGTCTCAATATTCTAAAGGTTGAAGAAAACAATTACGCTCACTACTAATAGAGGTTAAATTAGTAGTACCTACTATTAGCATTTATTTGTTAATTTTGCACACTTTCAGTGACTGATTGACATGTTTAACGATGCCTGATGGGTGTGAGCACATCAGACAACTATGACTTCATACTGACTGCGTTTGGGAGAGTTGTCTGTCAGCAGAATTTCTTGTTGTTCTGGAAGGGTTTATGATCAGAGTGAACAAAGCTGACAGTAAAACACACTGAAAGTATATCAGCTGTTGTCATTCTTATTTGAAAAACTCCTTTTCATCAATTCAGATCACGCTGCAATTAGGAAAAAAGGCAATTATTAGTTATGACCTTTGAATTGTCTCACATGTATCTGCATATCTAAGTCACCGTCAGAATTATTCATCCAAAACTTTTTTACTCTGGAGTCAGGAAACATAGATGTCTCCAATTTAGGCCAAATAAGTACCCCTGTCTGTAAACCAGGGAGGTTCAGAGGAATACAGAGCTGTAGGACAGTGACCATTCTGTGTACATATATAGGCTTTGAACTCTGCAGGAAATCTGGGGAGATGCAAAATCTATTCCTGTAACTCTACCTGTAGATACTACTCCAAAGATGGCATCAAAGCAGCACAATTTTGGGTTTCAAAGGTACTAAACAAGGGGTAGGAAAATTCCTGAGGAGTCTTGGGTTTTGACTGTCAGGTATATATACGTTCAAAATATGCAAAGAATCATCTGGTAACTTTTTATATTAAGTAGCTATATTCTAGTTATTACTACTTAATTAATGACATCGTTATGATATTCACACATTTCCAACTCATCCAACACTGTTTTAATTATCAGATGAATTCTCAATAATCTCTTGTGTTCAGGTGTGAATAAGAATATCAGTGAAACAACACAAGGAAGTTTTTAGTTCTGAGAAACTGAAAACTATTGGCATGGAGGCCTTGTGTTGCAAAAACCTTCCCTGTTCACATTTTATTATGTAAGAAGTTTAGACAAACAGGCATCTTCCTGTTTGTCATTTGCTGTTCAAACTTTAACAGTATTTCTTATATATTAGTTCCTCATCATGTCATAAATGCAGATTGTTCATGGATACTTCCTAGTTTGGTATTTTTTTTTAGTTTCCCCTTTAAAGGGCATTTGCAGGCTATTCATAATATCCTAGCTTCATTTTTGCCCAACAAAACTTTCTGAACACAGGATCTTTAAGCTGTTAAAAACTACAGTTGTTTTGAAATCACTGTTTTAGGCACGTGTTTGCCTCAGGATTAGTTCTTTGTTTTCCAAAATTTTGGAAATAATTTCTTTGAAGAAATTGATACCTCACCTCTTTTAGTAGGATATGAAGAAAATACTGTTTTCCCAGTTAGAACCTTAAACTCATTTTGCTTTCTTTTTCTCATGCAAAATAGAGATCATAAACCAAGACTACCTGGATATTTGACCAGGGTGTAAATGCCGTGAAACAGAAAGGGAAGGTATAACTTTGGGCACACCTACTTGATAAAGCTTTAGCACAAATCATCTTTGAACTCTAGGCTTGAACTGTGTCATTTTCAAAGAGCAATAAATAAGTTCCAAAAGAGCTCAGTCAGAAGATGTGTTGGGGAAAATAGTCTTTCCTTGCACCGAGCCTTTGCTGTGAGTCCCAGACTGAGCAGAGTGAAATGCTTACTACCAAATTATTTAGGTGCTAAAGTAGCCTAAAATGGCAGTTGCATGGTTGCAGGGTTTGACATGAGTTCATGAAGGAGGTAAGGGCTGTCCCAGGTTGCCAAGGAAACAGAAGCAGGAATTCCTGGCTGGAGGACAGGAGTTTGCAATCACAGCAGGTCTGTACACCTTCATACTGTGTGGAGGTGCCGTGACTGAAGCTGTAGTTGTACCTGCTACTGTGCAAAAGTATTTCCACGTTGGGACTTTATCCTTTTACCTAAACTGCATAATGGATGTTGAAACAGAACAGGTTCTTCCTTGAAGACACAGAGTAATTTATACCTTTGCACATGCTTGCTGTGCATTAATGTTATGTTAACTTCCATCCATATCTGCCCTCTAAATCGCCTTAAATTCAAAGTAGGGTTTTGGGAAGGCTAAATCAGAAATCAGTAATAACCATGTTGGGAAATGAGTAAAGCATGAGTAAGTGATGGGATCACTGTAAAGGTCTGATACTCTGGAGAGACTGATAAGCAATTGGGCAGACATAGCTGGTGGAGGAGGAAACACAAAGTGGAATCCAAGGATGACTCGAAGATTTCATGTTCTTCGAACAATGTTGTTGTTCTTTTAATGCCCTTTCCACCTCCTTAACCACAGCCAGTGAGGAGTGAAAATACACTGTCACCAAGAGGTGAAGTTGCAGTGTGGTGGAGGAAATAGTTGCTCTGTTAGTGCTCTGAGGCTTTTATTCTTCCAGTTTGTTCTTAGTGTCTCCAGTTCTGTCTCACTGGCATCCGTAGGAGAGCCCACTGCCTAACGCTTAGAAAGGCTCTCCACAATCCAGGAATTCCTTCCTCCCTTCTCCCTTTTCTGCCATAACTACTCTCTAGAGAAAAGAAATTAGAAAGAAAATAAAATCAACATCTTCCTAATGATTTAAAACACTAACCTTGGTAAAAACCACCAGGAGCCAGGAAAGTGTGATCTAAACTTGCTTCTCATACTCATGCAGACACTTTGCATTATCTTGTCAAAACATTCCCAGCTAAGGAGGGTTTTCCAGCCTGTTTTTTTTTTTTCACCTCCCTTTCCTCTTGTTTTATTTGAGCATTGTTAATCATTCCATGCACAGTTGGTGAGTGCTTTCAGCATCCATTGGGAGGCCCATATAGGTTCCACATGTATTTTTATGGCACTTGGCTAGCCAGAAAAGCAGTTTTCCTTCAGTTCATGTAATTCAATGTAACCATACATCTACACACCAAAAAACAGGTTTTGAACGTGCAGCCTGAGTTGTTTACTTGACTACAGTTCTTTTATTTTATATATAGCATCTTTTTTCATGATGCCCTGAGGCTATAAGGCAAAATGTGTGGAGAAATAGAGTCACTCTGCAAGACCTGCTAACAGCTGGGGAAAAAATCACATTCCTTTAGACAGGGAAGATCTTCCTCAGGTTCAACATGGCCAATGTCACATAAAGAGCTAACCTATACACAGCATTTAATTTTTTGACTCTGTTTCACATCCTAAGGGCTTGTGTGCCCAAAGGCACATCTGTATTTTTCAGTTAATCAGTATCTGACAGGATTTAATTATTCTCCAGAGGTATTGCCTAAATTCCATGGCCTGTTCATTGGCTCATAGATCATGGGTATATGACCTGTCACTTAACAGTGTACCCTTGTTTCTGCCTGTTTGATAGATAGAGCCCAAGCTCCTCTTATGAAACATCAGCAGGCTGAGCCTTCACTCAAGCTTCAGAGACTTCAGAATAAGATAGCCCTTGGCACTACAGCTTGCTTATTTCCTCCTACTTCACCAGGAGCTGTAGGAAGATTATCCAGCAATTCTTTAGTCTGAATAAAAAAGACCTTCCAAAAGAGTGTGTTACTAACTCACGTAATTTCCCCTGGTGTGGGAGGAGATACTAACATTTTCTCAAGGACCTGGGTATAAACATTTCCAATGACACCCCTGCCAGCTCCTGGTATGTCAGCAGAGAGGATAATTACTTAAGGAGTGAGAAAGTCACTTACTCCTCTGTCAAATTCAAAACTTTCTGTGAGAGCATCCCGTGGCATCACATCGTTTCCGTTGTTTAAAAGGGCTCTTTGGAAGCTGTTCCGTGGGAAAAGAGGTTTTCCCTCCAGCCCAGCTCTAAGTGGGAAGCACTCAGTGTCTGTGCCCAGCTGGAAGCATATCCAGCTGCCACAACATTTCAGTAAATTGCCATGTCTGTGTAGTTCAGCTGTAGACCAATTCACCAGTTTGTATAGGCCCAATTAAACTATATGATCTCTTTTTCAAGACAGTATAAGGACATATAATATAAACACGGCCTCCTTGACATCTTCTGCATCACCTATTTGCATCGTGCATAAATTGTCAGAGGAGCCTATCACGTCACTCATTCATGATAGCACTTACTTTTGACAATCTCAGTGATTAAAATACTGTATTTCCACCTAAAGGAAGACCATGAGGTTTTGAAGGGGTAAAATTCTATATGGTTTCATTTATTCTGGAAAAGACTTGTTTTAAAACAAAAAAGACTTGTTTCTAAAGTGAAGTCAAGTCAGGTCAAAATATAAAAGTACCCTTTTAAATTCTAAAATCTTCACCAGCTGGTCATTCCCACATGCAAAAACTTAAATAACCTTTCAGAGCTGTAGTAGGGCTAACAAGAACTCCAACCAAATGACAGATGTATTTGGACATAAATGTCACACCCAGTGGATTTAAAAGGAAATAAATAGTAATTTAACAGTGTTGGCAAGCTGCGTTTTTGACTGTGTAGCACCACCAGCATATTTTACATGTGTATCACAGTCATGAATAAGCCAGAGCAGACACACATTCACAGACCAGTTTTGATTTCCTACTAAGTTACATGCTCATTTTTTTCCCCCACCCTTTTAAGCTATTAAGGGAGCCAAGGGAACGGAC